TTTTAGATAAAGCTAAAATTAGCTTTCTCTAAAGCCTTATCAAGCACTGGAAGAGGTTGCCCAAAGAGGCTGTGGAGTTTCCATCCTGGAGATTTTCAAAAGCCAGTAAGAGACCGAGACCATGGACAAAATAAGCTCCAGTTTCAGAGGCTTTTCACTAGAGACACATGACTCATGGGAGAATATCTCAGTACTTCAGAATGGGCTTTGTAGAAGTCATTAAAATTCCCTATGTTTTTATTTAATATGGTAGTTTGACAGAAATCAGGATAATCTATTTAACCTTTTTAACAACACATATGTGAATGACATATCAACTGTTTAAAAATGTTAGAAAAAAAGCATTTACAAATATGTTTTTGAAACAATTCAAGTCTAGACATTAATTACAAACAAATAATAGTCCATGTCTCACTCATCTAAACAACTTCTCTGTTGAGAACAAATTCAAAGACAGTAACACGAGGCTAGCGATTCAAATGAGCAGACTCTTATTGTTTTCACTAGGTCTACCAGCTCTGCCTTCTCCCCCTCTTCTCAGCACAAAACTGACCTTGTACTTCCCATTGTTTTTCAAAGCTTAGCAAAGAGCTCCTTTAGAAAAGACTGATGACAGAGCTCCTGAGAGCTGTGCATCACAGGTCGCCTTGCAGGAGGATGCACTGAGGTTCTGTACATGAGATAAGGGAGCTGTGTGGATGTAAAGGCTGCAGTCCCAAGTCTCGCTCATGATTTCAAAGCTGTTTCTTAATCATTCTGCGAAGAGTGAAATATGTAGGATTCAGATCACTGGTAGGAATAACTGCACGAAATAGTACGGTATATGTTTTGCAAGAGGTTAAATAATACTTTTTCTTCTTAGGATCCATGTATTCATTGAATTTTCCTGGTGCTTTGCATAAAGACTGCAAATCATGCCATGCAGTGATTTCACGGAATTTGTAGTTTTTGGTAGCATTCTATGGAAGTGTGTCTCTCTAAGAATCCAATTTAGCTTTTATAACTTTGTGTGCACTGTAAATAATCATTAGATCTCACTGTGCTCTTGAAATAAATACTAAAGAAACATACTATGATGAGAAATGATATTCATCCTCATCTCTCATCAGAAAGGTATGAATACCTACAGGAAAGCACTGCCTACTTTACCAGCTTTTTTTAAAAAGGGGATGGAATGAAGCAATGGATCATGGACCTTCAAAAAGAAGAGTGTTACAACTTCATGATGCATTAGAGTATTTTTCTAAGACTCTTTCTTCTATTCCAGAGAATCTTTGTCCTTCCCTTCACAGTAATCGAGCTGGAGTTCCTTATGAGAGCATTAGGTTTGTGAGGGTTTGTGAGTGAAGTTACCCTGTCTACATAATGTGTTTTTACCAACACACACTTGTGGAGTACACACAGGAACTGTATCTGTAATTCTGGTCTTCTGTATGTCAAGGAGCTTATGGAGCTCAAAAGAAAACCGGTCCTGAAAGATCCATAATTTGCTCTGTAAAGAAATCCCCATGAGAAATCTAAGAACTTTGTCCTTTTTCATCTTCAGTAAGTCACTAAGGTAGCCTCTTCATTTATCCTCAATAAACGACTAAGATAGCCTAACAACATCTGAAGACTCCTGTGTACAACAGGATCTCTGAACCAGAAAAGAACATTCGCATGATTAGATTAGTACCACAGGCTCTGGAGCAAGACAGGTGTCCACTGTAAGAGCATAAAGCCAAACATACGCAATTGTGTTATGCGGCTGTTCTGCAACAGATAGACAATGCAACATTCCATACAATGGAAGTCTGCCATGTGGATCTAGTGTCTAAATTAAGCTATACAAAAATTCACATCTTGCCATCATCAGGTTGCTCTTCTCTTATGGGAAAGAAGATGTCAAGATTTTGAGAAAGCAAAGTAAATTGAAATAGATATTAAAAACAGAACACCCCCCAGAGAAAGTTATGTAGGAAAAAGAAGCACAAAACTGAGAAGAAAGCTTGCGCTGAGAGAGACTGATTTAAAGATACTTTATAACTCAGATAAAAACAGCATGTAGAGCAAATCTGCAGAAAGGAAAAACTTTATCTTTCAGTTTCACTGAGCTGTCCTGAGGATGAGATATCTGAATTATGCAAGTCATTAATGACGAGGACAAAATATTACTCCCAAGTACGAGAGTTTAAAGTATTAAAAGAATGTAATTATTGTGTGATGGCAATTGTTGAATTTTTTGAACTGCATTTCAAGACAATCAATGACTCTACACTATAGTTCAGGAAAGGTGTCAGGCTGACATATTGGAGGATTACAGGGCCAAATTCCTTACTGGCTTCTTTGCAATTGTGTAAAACTCCATTAAATACCAGAAAATCAAGCCTAAATACATTTTAAAATAACTTCTCAAGCAATAACTTTGCTATGCTTTTATAAAATCATATGCTGTCTTTGTTGTTGAAATAAAGGACTAAAAGGTAGAAGGGACACTCATCAGTAAGGATACACACACCCAGATGTGACACGATGTGCATCAGTGTGGAGAAACTACTCTTTAAAGCAAGAGACTGGTGAACCACCCAGAGCTATTTAGTCTGCGGCATCTCTTGCGATACAATCAACCACAGATACAGCCTAAGGAATGCCTCTGAGATATGGGTATCTGTAGAAAATGGAATTTAGACACAGAGCCTAAAAATGAAAGCAGACTGTAGGAAGGTTCTGATCATTATGACACCTGGTGAAGTTACTGTAGTATTGAAAATATGAGCACTGTAAAGCTCTTTACGATGGCTAGGGATACTACATATGGTATCCATTTAGTGACATAAGGCTAGATTGCATATAGCCTTGTCTTACGTGAAAGCCTCCTGCATTCTGCTTAGTAAAGCACCATATTTCTGAGATCTGCTGTTGCAGCAGTATTAAACATAAAGTGCTCTTTCAGTTGGTCATTCTTTATTCTCTTTACATACGTTATATATATGTATGTATTCATGCGCAGACGTGTCTGCATCTGAAGCATGAAATAAACCCTACAACTGACCACTTCAGGCTGCCTCTGCCAGAGCTCTCGGTAGACTAAAGCATAAATTTCCTTAAGACCCTTTGGCAAGCTCATGCCTGATTCAAACTGAGATCCTTTCTCACCTTCTACAGAACTGCAAACTCATTAATGGCTCTATATTGGTTATTGAGTCATTCAAGCATACACAGAGCATGCTAGATTTCTTCCTGCTATCTCCTTCTCCCTAGGTTATATAAGGACACCCTTTCATTTTTGCAAAGCTTGCTAGGTTATGCTGCTTGAAAAGGCACTGATGAATATACGTTCAGTGGCAAACATGTCTGCGCTTTCCTCTGTTTTGAAGCACTGACACACTCTCAAACAGATAGCTAAAATGACCCCTCTTTCAAGTGAAGACAAGAGAAAAGTCATTCTGAGGGATTTTAACCTCTAAGGTGGGAAAGCAAGAAGAAATATGATTTATGTATTTATAGCAGATGGCCTTCCATTCTGTTTAATAGTTCATCATGCGAACAGGAATAAATCCTACTCTTTGCTTTGGTCTATGGACAACAGAGAAAATCTGATAATTTAAGTAATTATATTATCCAAACTTCACTCACTATCCAAACATTACTCACTTTGTCTTATCCTGTCACAGGTAAATGCATATCAGTGCATTCAAAGATGAACAATAAGGAACTGATGCCTGTTCTATAGGCTTCTAATCAGGGTTTGGTTGCTGTAATCTGGCAGAAAATCATGTTTTTAAGATAAGAGCTTCAAGAGGCAAAAAAGCCACTTGATAGGATTTTCAAAAGTACAGAGATTGAACCATGACTTAAAATAGTGTTAACTGAATAGGCAGATGCTTTTGCAAACCCTATTAGCAGCCTATTTGCATACCCCACCTGCAGTCAGAATGCCTGACCATGGTGTCACTGAGTGTCATGAGGGATGACACTGAGGTGACTTCTGCTACCATGTAAGCAATAACCTTCCTGAATTTACTTCCATGGAACTGTTGTAGATGATGTCTGCTTCAACTTATGTGCAGCTGCTCGCCACACAGTGGAGAAATTGGCAGATGAGGTGTCAGACCATTCACACACTGGTATTACAGTTTTCCATGGCTTTAATCTTTCAAGGCTACTCGGGTTTCCATAGGATTCAGGACAGGTGAAACAAGATGGATTCTAAACTGCAAGACCAGTCCAAAACGCAAGAATTTTATTCTCCTAGTATACTCTTTTACAAAGCTGCACTGACCCAGTAGCTCCAGGCAGGGTGTGTCGCTTATGACCAGTCTTACTCTTTTTCACTGTATGCATTCACCAACAGCATGAGAGGGTACATACAACGTTTAGCAACCAGAATTCCCAGTTCCCAGTTACACAGGAATGAAAGGAAGGAAGAACCACCCAACTGGCCAGACTCTGGGCACACTGAACCACAATACGGCCACTGGACTAGGTCGCTGATAGCACTTCACAGAGCATCTCCTTCTATTGACTTCTTTACCACATTAGGGAGGATAGCTCGCTCCAGTGGCCCATAAGCAAAAGCGAGTCAGAAGAACTTCACAGCCTTGTGGTATTAACATCAGAGTATCTGAATACCCTGGCCATGGCTTGATAAGAGCTCAAGCACTGAAGTGACCCTAAGCTGTTAAAAGAGCACCAGAGGACCAGCAAAGCACTCTGATGCCATTCCTGTATCTTATGTGGTTGTGACTACCTTAGCACAACAGTGTTTAGTGAAATACACCACTCCTTTAAGTTTCTATGATGTTATACAAACTTGATTTCCATCTCCCTTGCTTACAATAATTTTTTTCCGAATTTACATCAAAATCTAGTTAGTATGTATTACATTTTTGCATCTTAAAAGGATATTAGGATGAAATGCATCTGAAATAATTGAATAGCTTTCTAACAGGTTTGTATGGTCCACTGCTATTTAAGGCGTTAGAAAACTCATTGTTTATCCCAGCAAGCAAACCACTTACCCTCAGCATAGGGCCATTCTGGAACACATGGGGTTCATCACAAACTACACAGTATTCATTTAATACTGGTATCCGCTGCTCAGCAAATTCAATAGTCTGAGAACAAGGAAAATGAGAATAACAAAATCGGCTTAAAAATAATTAACAGTCAGCTCATGCTCTAGAGTGTTTCATAAATGGGTAAGATATGACATCCTACCTGCACAAGAAAGCCACGGTCTCGTACTGGAATACATTTTGCACCATAATTTTGCTGCAAGGAAAAAGTTGAGGCAACTTCAGTGTTGGTAGACTAATTATAAGAAATTGGTAAAACATTTGTATTTTTTGCATGCAAATACATTAACTGAATAATATTTGCATCTGAAACATCAGCCATTACTAATAATCAGTCCTTTTACTGTTTGCGGAGTGTGACGTAGATTTTTAGCATTTCTTTTTAGTTCTTAAATCTGATGAGGTTTTGTATCTCAGCAACCCAAAAACTTCAATTTCAAACGGAAACACCAGTGCCTTCACTCCATTCCATTAAACTGACATTTGGTAACTTCCATTAAATTTTAACTGCACTTTGTCTATCCAAATACGGGCTGTGTGCTTAGGCTTGAGTGACTGATGGAACTCTCAGAACGGGTGAAAATCTTTTTTTTTTATACTTACTAAGATCTGACTTCAGTAAGCACCATGCTAACAGATCTCTGTGCTCAGATCACACTCAAGTATTTTCTGCCTTTTTCTTTCAAGACAAAGCAACATAAATTAGAAGGAACTTCTGTTCCAGGAGTCACTACAGTACGAAGTTCCCTCTAGGCTGACATCTATCTCAGTCATGCCTTGTTTTGAATAAGAGTCAGATCAGCTCCATTTACTGCATTTCTTGGTTTTGTTTATCAGCTTATTTCTTTTCATTTCCCTAACTGCTTAATTGGGAAACCTTTCCTTTTTTTCTCCTGGGAAGCAATCCTAAGTGTATTCATGTAAGAGATTCAAATACTTTAGCTAAGAATTGAAGAGAAGTTAGGCTTCCGATTCATCACTTCCACATTCCACTGACTTCAAATTGCAGCTGGACACCCAGGCTACCCGTCCATCTGGTGCCTGCGTGTGAAACGTGTGAAGGGCTCTTGATGCCCTTCTGCTAACAACAGCCAAACTGCATGTGACCACGTATGTGATGATTTTCCCTCAAATTAAATGCATTCTAGTAATAAATTACTGGTAGTTTTTATAGACTGCCAAGCAGAGCCTGCACTTGTTCCATATCAGCTGATAACATCAGTAATGAAACCACTTAGTCAACTCTTCATTATCTTATGAAAACCAATGGGACTTTTCCTATTAACTTCAGGAGAGAAAAGTCTTGTCATGTTGAGACATCCCCTGCTGATTCACAAAAAAATGCATCTCTAAACTGTGATGAGTAAAAAGTCTGTTGGCTCACCTTAAATTAATTTTGCTGCGTGCATTACAGGAACCAACCACACAGCATGTATATAAGTGATTTTATGATAGTATATCCCTGCTTTTATATCTGATGAGTATAGCTCACAGCTTATTACACAAATTTACCACAAGACATAGCACACTCAATGTAATTCCATTATTCAGAATGCACAATTTTGAATATATGTGTGGCATTCTAAGCAAGAATCAGCTTTTTCTCAGTGAGAACATTAAGGTACCACCAGGCTAAGTGAGTGGAGAGGACTATTTCCTCAGTGACTCTCCCAGATCTAACACAGAAAACAGACTGGTGCCGTGAAACAGTGCAAACAGACCCACTCTTTCCTCTAAAGTATAAAAGCCACTTTTAAGAGGCAGAGGCAAAAGGGTTAATTTTGAGACCACTTTCTTAAGTTTAAGAATATATGCTACCCTTGTTTTCCCAACTGATCATGTCTCTGGGGAGAGAAAGGGGGGCAGTTTGGGCTCAATCCCTTCCCCAACCTCCAACTGCCACCAGCACATTTGAAGGTTAAACCTTTGACAAAGCATATATGTGCAAGAGGTGAACTGAGTCATGACTGCATTCCTTCCAGTGTGGTGATCACAGATGCAAAGACCAGGAGGAGAGGTGACTTGGCACCCAAACGAGACAATGGACAGTTGCTTCCCCTACGAAGCGATCAGGTAAATGAGAAACGACCTGTGTGACCAAGCCAATTTTGCAGCACAGAAGCTCACACTCTCCCTTCTTTCTGCAGCAAGAAAGTAGGCAGGGAAGGAAGTGAATGATCGAACTTTTCCCATGGCCAGCAGCTGTACATTGAGCTGTATTCAACACGACATCTCAATCTTGACCTAAGCAAATTCTGGTTTTGTAACTTAAATATATGTGCATGCACAGTTGTTTAAAACCTCCTGAAAAGCCAACTCCATTGCTCTTGTCTTCCAATACATTCAACATATTCAATACATTCACTAATTTATGTCCTAAGTATTACTGTCTTTGCATAATAAGCATAATGCCATGTTTGGAAACGAATAGGACGAAAGTGAGCAGAATAAAGAACTTATTACGCACAGCAGCTTGTGAAGGTGATGATGAAGATGGTGTTAAGATACCAATAAGCCCTGAGGTAAGAGAGAGCCTCCTGCTCTCTGCTATGGTGGACTCCTTGAAAGGCTCCATTTTGGATGATTTAGGGGCATTGGAGTAAGTCTTGCTGAGTAACTTGTGATTCTTCAATCCATCCAATTCTTCCATTCTAAGATTACTGGAGTAGGACCTGCTTAAAAGTTTGTGGGGCTTCAAGGTGCTGTTGTGCTCACATCGAGGGTCCCCAGAACATGACCTGCTTAACAGCTTATGGGGCTTTAAAGTAATGCACTCCTCCTGCTTGACGGCTGCAGAGCAAGAACGGTTCAACAGTTTGTGCGATTTAATAGCCATTGTCTGTTCAGCCCTAGGGTCACTCGACAACGAGCGGCCAAAGGTTCTGTGAGATTTTGCAGCACATACATCCTCCGCCTTCACTGTGCTAGAGCAAGTCCTTCTCAGTAGCTTGTGAGTTTTGGAGATGCCATCCTGTTCTGACTTCAGCTTTGATTTATTTTTACAGCCAGGTGGAGGATAACTTGGCGACCTGAAAAATAAAGAAGGAGAAGACAAAGTTGGAGAATAATCAAGATCTTGCGCAAATCAAGCAAGATGACACATACATAAAAATTTTTAAGTGTCACTTGTCTTTACACATTATCACTAGTGATAAATGCAGCCCAACATTAAAAAAATGAGGAATTTTATGTAGGACTAATTTTCCAAAAAGACAACAAACTACTTACGCAGAAGTTAGAGCTATACCCTTATAGCTCTTTGTAAAGGTCTCTATGTCTCTAAACAAACAATTTATTCAGAAAATTATCTTTGAAATGAAAACCAGGTATTTTACATGAGATTATAACACATTTTCCTTACCAAAATCCATCTGTCCTCTGTAATCATCATGGCACAACCCATTAAAGTTATTGTCTTCTGGACACAGCATAACAAATTCTATGTCCAGATCCAATGGAAGATATAATGAGCCATGAAACTTGCAGGCAGTAAATCAAATTTAATTCAACTGAAATGAACATTATTTTAAAAAACCTTCTAATAATCTGGGTGCTTTGTGGGAGACAATTTGATGCCCTTCTTTCCTGTTTCAGACAAATTTTTGCTCTGTAACACTAAAAAAATGAGAATGTGAGGGACCTAAAACATGAGTGCAGAAAGTAAAGAACAAAAGCTTTTTACAAGCAACATTCACACCGTCACATTTCCAGAATGTTCATATTTGCCTGTCCTTGCAAAGCAAGAACATGTAACAGCTATGCTGAATGATTTTTCTATGCTTTATAAGCAACCACAATCTTTGAAGTATTTTTGGGGCTTGGATTTAGTAAGAAAGAAGCAAAACCCCAAAAGGAGAGGCTAGCAGGTTTCCCCACCCTGTTAACAGGCAGCGACAGTGGAAGACACGTACGGAGGTTGATGAATCAGCATTGCAGTTGGCTCACTATGCCCCTCCTGCAGGGAAGAGGTGGGAATGGTGCTCTAGGGAGAGAGGCGGTCCCTGCATTTGGGCTGAGCCACCTTTAAGCAGCAGCCAAATCAAGAGGAGAAAGATTGGGCTGGGTTTTGTATGCCGCTTTGAATAAAACCAAACCCCAAGCTACAGCCTGCGCTAGGCAATGGTGCATGGCATGGTAGCAAATGTGTAAGCAAATGCACCACCTTCCTCTTCTACCTTTAAAAAGACAAATAATCTTTTGTTATCTTTGACGTTCCTCCCTTCTTCAACGTGAGCAATCGCTGTACTCCCTCTCTTTTTTATACATGGAATTTAGAATGACAAAATTCATCAGCAAGAAGGAATGTTCAAAGAAGCATTCAATTCAAATTCACAGCAGAGGTGGTCTGTCAACTCTTCATAACCAAGAAAAAAACACTAGTGTAAATAGTCACATTCCTGAAAGAGGTAAAATCACAGCCTGATTTTACATACACTTAAGAGTATGAGCAAGCGGTAGACGTCATAATGAATTCAAATGACCTATTCACAAACTACTTCTTATGTTTCTAATGTCTTTGTTCTTTGAAATTCTGTGCCAGCATTTCCATAGTGCTGAACAACATTCAAACAGTGGAGGAGAACGGGTGCTCAGCAGCTCTGAAAATCAGTCCTTCATTAATGACCATTCTAGCTTTAAAAAATTAAAAATAGAACAGCTTTTGAAGGAACAACTAGACAACCTCAAATTTTTTTATATATGTATTACATATATATTATATATTACTTGTATATATTACTTTTATTTGTATTCTTGCTATTCTAATACCAGCCAAATGCTACCAAGCTAATAAAGACACAAATACAACAAGTTAAATAATATAAAATTAATTACTTCCAATTCTAGATGAAACATGGCTGTTTCAGGGAGCGGGGCACTGAAATGCTCTGCCTTCAAATAGTTTTACAAGCTGCAGTAGTACCTAGTTCACTTTTGATGTCACACAAGGCAAGGACTGGAAACCCATGAGGGGAGATATAAATAGAGCACTTCTCTGTGGAGAAAATTCAACATTTCACCTTGTGAAGTCTGCTGTGGATTTTGAACAGGATATGGTGGTAATCTCTCATTTTCCTTGTTATTACCTGCGCAATGTAGAAAAGATGTGCAGAGGGGATTTCACCTTTTTGTCAGACACCTTTTTATTGTGCGTACAATTAGATTTCTCTTTGCTGTTCTTCCACTGTTGTGTAACAAATGTCTGCATGATTCTGCAAATTAAGAAAGAAAAAAAGATTTTCTTATCCTAGCCAAGACATACTCACTTTAACACTAGGGTCTCTCTGTTCACCACGTAGGCGACATGATGCAATGTCCAGACTCTGCAGGCAGAGCTTTTCTGTTATGTCTGCAGACTGGTGGCTGGGTGCTTCAGCTCCTCGAGAATGCTTTTTCCCCACATAAAACCAATCTACATGGAACTCTCATTGAGAATACAGTCTGCATAAACAACCACTGCAAGACATCACAGGCATGCCTCTCATGGAGATCTAGAGACAAACTGGTTCAAAGTCATCCCATCCAGCTATAGGCATCTGTCTCTCCAGTGACTACAGAGGTAGGCTACAGCATCCGCACCGCTCAAGTAGAAGCATGTTCTCCTAAGCCACAAACATGAAGGTAGGGATGCCGAATATTACACTACCTAAAGGGAGTTTACAGAGAAGACTGAGCCAGACACTTTCCCAAGATGGACAGCAATGGGCAGTAGTCACAAATTGTAGCAAGGAAAGCTAAAAAACATAAAGGCTATAAAATGAAGACATCCACAAGAAGAGTGGTTAAGTACAAGAGGCTGCCTTCAAAGGCTGGAGATTTCACAGCTCAGCTCCCTGAGATTCTGACTGAACTAATCTAACTTTGAAGTTAGTGTTACTTGTACAGGAGGTTGCACTAGGTGACCTCCAGTAGTTCCTTCCAAGTCAAATTACTCTGTGACTCTAAACTAGCAGTGGTGATGAAGTCAAAGTGGAAGTTGGTATGGACTTGACCCAAAATTTAGTGAATCCTCAAATATACATATACTGTTGCCACAGCCGTGAGGAGCCATGGAGTTCGTGGGTATTCTCACTTCTGCTCAACGGTGAATTATGCAACTATGTCTTTAAATACCAAACAGCAATTTTTTTTTTTTTTTTAAGGATTTCTTAATGCTGTAATGGTCAGATATTAAAGCCTATGTTCTTGTCATTTTACTACACATACACAAGCATATGCAAAAAAATGACTCAGCAAAATTTTATTAAATTGAATTGTACCACGAACATATGAAAATGCTGATTTTTTCAACTATTCTTCCCTCTTGTCCTCAAAGCTTGGATGGCCTAATTACTGTGGTACATCCTAGAGGCCACCATGAAAGCACAGCCCCCTTAGGGTAATGCATGATGCTCAAAAAAATTGCTGCTCCAGAGGCTTCACCATCTAAGCAGAAACATGAAATTGAACATTCCTAGCTAGAGTCTTTTGAACTTTTGAAGCTTACTTCCTAAATGGCAGCAAAGTGACAGAAAACCCTGGCAGGCAGCACAAATCAGGTTCTCCCCATCAACTGTCAAAACTGAACTTCAAAAGGCAAATCCTGTTACAAGTTCAAAACACTTTGATCCAGCCAGCCTGACAACCTGTGAATTTTATTCTACTTGACATGGTCTGGGAACTAAAGAGAGTACAACATTTACGTAAAAGGTGGGATTTACACTTTTTCTACACTTACTTTCTCAGCTGATGTCCCAGCCCAAATCTTTCCTTAGTAGAGATTTGAAATACATCCACAGTTGGCACTACAGAAAAAAGCAGATATTGTTGATACATGAACTTACAGCAATAAACAAGAACTCATGACAAAATAAGTCATATTTAAGGACCCTGTTCTACCTGGATCTTTACTACAGACAATGCCATTGAAGCAATGGTGAAAGTAGACGTGTCATCTAAGCCTATCAAGAAATGAACAGTCCTTTTTAAAAACCAGCCAATATAATATGTAATTTTACAAATTAGTATTTTAGAAATTGAATTCCCCCAAATGTATCTCTTCCTACTAATTTTAATTACAAAAATGTGTCTTTTTTGTATATTATAAATACTAGAGAGCAGTATCAGATTAAATGTACCTGGACTGGTAATTCATCTCCCCTAATCTCACGAACTTTTTTCCAAGTAAGTATCTTTACAGACTACAGTTCCTGCAACTATGAAAAAAGCATGAAATGGAATAAACTGAATTAATTAGTATCTGGTTTTAATTTCTGAGGGCATTTTCATACAAGATCCATAATCATCATCTAAGTGCCTAATGCATGAATTCCAGTAGTCAAGGATTACCCTCAATTTTCCCCAAGACCCATCCTAACATTGGTATATCCACATCATCTGTCAGAAAATTGAAAGTGTACAGGGTGAAGGCTGGAAACTAGCTCCTGGTATTACTAAAATCCTTTAATAACAATTACTAGATAGAAGTGGCAGATGGAATCCAGCTCGTGTTGAGACAGCCTCAGGTCCTCAAGGCCGGACAACAGCCACCACACATTACAAGGACGAATAGACTTCAGACTTCATATTACATAAGGTGGTAATGACTACAGTAAAATAAAAAGGAATGAAAACTAAAAATCTCCGGTTAGTTCAAATTTTATTAGAAACAGTAAATCAGTATTTTAAAATCTGTATTATTCTGATCATCGGGCAAGCCAGAGTTCATTCAGAATGTTAAAGTTTATCCTTTAATTTCACTTTAATAAACTAAATTTAAAAATAAAATACAATATATCTAATCTGGCCATCCAATTTGACTTAGTTCAAAGCCCTGTGGGTAGCCTTTCTCTAACACTATTTAAATACAATCTCATCTTTTAAACTCAAACTGACAATTTTTTTCAAAAGGGATTAATTATTTGATTAGGGGTAGCAATGTCATTGGATTGTCAAATTTAGCACATATGGTAGGGGGAAGAACATTTGCAGTGAGAATCATCATAGCTAGATCAGCAATCTTAAAATCTGACATCTAGACTACAATTGTTATCTAAGCTCCACAGACAGAGGAGACAGCCCGGTACCTCCAAAGGCTGATTCATCCTCACCTAAGACAGGTTTCTAGGGCATGTGGCAGAAACTGCCTACAAGTACAATGAGACAAGCTATTAACTAGAAAAATAACTATCTAAAATCGGGATATTATACAGCTACAAGGTGATACAAGTACCCCCCACAGCGCTCTGGAGTATACCGCATTTGTGTTCAGAAGGTGCCACAGGAGAAAAAGATGTAGGATAAAGTTATGGCCCAGTAGTCTCAAAACACCGTACTTCAGGGGGAAAAGGAGTTCACAGAGAAAGGGTCTTCTTAACACAAAAGATGGTGGATCTCATTGTCCTTTTCTGGAAAATCAAGAGACGAGGCTGCAACAGCAGCTGACCTCAAAAAACCAGCAGCAGGAAAGCACTTCCCTCTGGCCCTGATCTTGCCTTTCTTGGTACCCAGGCACTCCCACAATCAGTCAGCTGCAGGACTGGGTACTAAGCTTCCCGTTTCAACCTTGTCAGTGATGCAGAAGATGTCTTCTGACTATATAATTTCTTACTGCATGCTGCTCTTCACACATCATCTTCTCTTATGTGATGCACTGTTTTATTGTTTAAATCACATTTTGATAGAAATATTTTGAATACTCATGGCTACCAGCTATGGCAAATACATATTTTAAGATCTGCAAAAAAAAGATTGAAGCAATAAAATACAGACAAAAAGACCAAAGTCAAGCAAATAAAAAAAGACTGATGTAATGAAACGATTATTTGAATGAACAGAATATAGCTTATAGTTAGCATCGGCAGGCAACATATCCTATAAAAATAGCTCACTGGGACAGATTTTGCTAAACTTACTATGACTGGAAATATCTGTTCGTTTCCAGAGGCAGAATTCTCCCACAGATACAAGCCTGAACTGACAGCTTGCACTGGAAGCCTCCAAAGTCAGGCAAGTTATGATCCAAGTTGTAATTTAGTTCTGACTTCCCACTATAAAAATATATCTGAGTTGACTCTTGCATATGAACATTTCCAGAACTTCAAAATCAGTTGATTCTTCAGGAGTTTGACCATTTTTACTCTCATGAGGAAGCTGTACTCACTTAACAATTCATTCAAATCTAAACATTGCCAGAGTTCACATAGTTATATAGAAATCAGAAGCTGAAAGGATAATTATCATGGCCTGATTCTTCAAAGATGAGTGAAAAGGGGCATATTAACGTGCTGCACAGGTCTGTGTACGTATATGTTATCAGTGATATCTCATTTGTGCAGATGATCCCTCATTTCCAAAATCAGGAAATCACATATTAGAAACCATAGATCTTTATTCATTAACCCTGGAAGCAGCTGGATTTCAAAGGATATCAGGAAAACAGGCTCCAAAATCAACCTACGAAAGTTTAAATTAGATGCCGATGTTACTACTGAGGGCCTATCCGTACAAATATATGTAAGTATAATTTCAACCAGTAGGACTGCTCTCAGCAGTAGATCTAAGCACATGCAAGGTCAAAGATTTGGCAGTGAATGAGTATCTATCACTTAGTACATGGCTCAGACCGAGACACCATACAAGGCACATGAAGAACACACAGGTGACTAACCTGGACCGTTTAAGTACTGTGTAAGTGAACAGTGCAATCGCACTATTATGGGCTCTGTGCGAATTACATCCCAAGCCACAGCAATCTCTTCCTAGTTCAACATAAAAAGAAAACAACAGACACCATTAGCCATCATGAGGAACGGCTGCATTTTGTCAGTCTACATTAGGGTTGTTAGAAACATCATGTATCCATTTACCCAGCTGCAGAATATCTACTGCAACTTTAAACTTGAGACTGGGGACAAACTATTGCCTGCTGATGCCCCTAAGAGCAGCATTAGACTGCTTCCAGTTCTTGAGTATGCTCATTTAAACTGACCACAGTAGCAACACTACGTCTACAGTGCAGGCAGACTCTTCCCACCAAGAGATACTGCTTCAAAGCTGAGAAGCAAAGGAGCAAATAAAGATGGAAATACAACTCATCCCATAACAAAAGGCAAAGGAAACTCTGGCTCCTTAAGACTGATTAAAATAATTCAAGGTATGATCAGATTTTCTTAAATTTTAGAAAAGCCCAAGAACACTCTCTTATGTGCTGTGCTGACCTGAGAATACGACCTGTCTGTGCAGCAGCTGATGATGCCCCTAAAAGCACTAATACTTATTCTCTATCTAGAGGACAGGCAGTTACTGCACAGATGGGGTGAGTAAGTACAGAGTTAATGACAGCATAACCACTGCAGAAACCATGCTGTCAGTCGACAGCACGACTGTCCTGTGTCTCCTTTGCCACTCAAGCCTCTCCCTAATCAGCTGCAGATGTTGAGAAGCACACAGGAGAGCTCCAGCCAAGGTCTTCTTCCCTCCAGGACTCTATGAAGTGCTTCCACCTAACTAATGTCTAGCATAGCAAAAAAAGAAATGTATTTCACTTATATCAGTTAAAACATTTATCATTCACAAAACATGTTTGAAAAGAAATACATGTGCAGTAAATAAAAGCCTACAATGCATTTTAACAATGTGACCATAAAAGGAAAACTTTTCTAAGTAGCGATCAAAAATGTGACAGCCATTTGTGAAGATCAACTCTCTGAAAAAGGAACATCTCAGTGGTTGTCTAGAGAGCCTAATGTGTAGCAGAATTAAATGGATATTAATGTTCATTATGTAATTCTGTGATTAGATTACTTACATCAAGAAAGCTAACATCAATATGCAGATCAATATCTACATCATCAATGGCTCCATATTCCCTGAAAGGAAAGAATTACATTATATTAGAGCTTTTTAAGATACTCCTCAGCTGAGGAGTACTTATAACAGGGAAGATTTATAAAGGATAATCTTGTCTGTAAAATCAGAATCATTATAAAATACATATTTATATAGATTGGATCGATATTCCCAGTGGGTGACCGTCTGCTGCACTGAAATTCTCTTTCAGTGGATCTTGCTTGAACAGGCTAAATCTTTTTTACTACTAACTCCCCCAAATTCTCTCTCCATTGCTGCTATGCATTTTTGTCTTGCATATTGTGCTATTAAATCAAGAAAACAATAATGGTCACATGCTGCTCCTATTTATGACAAAAGAAAACCCTAGTTAATTTTCAAAGTATTTCAGGTTAACAGCCAGTAACCTAGGGAGAAGCGTGAGATAAATCATTGATGACAAACACAACATAGCCTAGAGGGTGGCATATTATACCTGTGGGATTGCTTCATACATTTAAGCATTTGTTTGTCAAAACACAAAGATTGCCCTGTAACGCGCTCAAGGCAATAGTTACCTTATTTTATCTGGTACGTGTAGTATTGCTGGAATCGCCAAGGTTCAGATTTAACTTACACTCATAGGTGCTTCATTGCCATCTGAAATCTTACATTTAAAGTGTGGCTTTTCTGCCTCTTATTTTCTGACTCATTCTGCTTGCCCTCCCCCAACGTACTTGAAGACTTCTGAAAAATAAGGCTAGAAAAAACTCATTCACACACCTACAATTGCTTCCCTTTTCATTTAAATTGCTTAAGTGGACAATACTGTAAAAGTGCAATCACTCTCAATTTTTCATAGATTAGCTTCTTGTCAGTATGCTTTTTCCTTTACACTGCATTTACATGCTTGTTCTCACAGTGACTTCCATGCTTTTGTATTAAACTAGACTAACACAGTGCACAGTAGCAGTTCTGCATAAATAAGTTGATAAAGTAGTTTTGAAATACAAAGATATTTTTGTGAATATAACTATCTCCTATCAAAGTGGCCTCTCAGCCCACGGTAGGACCTAGTTCGCACTGGAAATGCCTTAGGCACTTAAGAAGTCTGGTGGAGTGAAACCCTTCTACCAAACTTTGGCATCCCAGTGGTTGTCTCTGGTAAGGGCAAACCCAAAGTCTCTCTCTAGATCAGACACGTCCACACACGGCACGGACAGGGCAGGTAAACAGCTGGCCAGGGCTGTGTTACCTGGAGGCTTCCCAGCCACCCTGAGTTAGTTGCTCCAGAGTCTGCTCACCCAGAGCTGCATGTACAGGTGCTCACTGGCCTCCTACAGCTCACAGAAGACCTGGCTATGGAAAATTGATTGATCCTAGAAAATTGATTTTAGACACGTGACACTGACTCCAGTTTCACTTCCCCAAGGTGAAAGGGAGGAAGAAATCATGTTTTCTTCCAGCACCTGCAGCTTATGACCTGCTGCCTACAATGGCTCCAAGCACACATCCTGACTTTGAAGCTCCCAGAAGTCCTCTGTCCACCAACGCATAAGCAATGTAAATAGATACTGAAGAGTTTGGATCAGTTGGTCCAGAAGTCTTTCTCACAGCTTTGGTGGCTGGGCAGTGGTGAAAAGCATGCAGTTACAGGAACTCCACTTCTACATGTACAGCTGACCCTGCGACAGCCAGAGAGTGACTAAAAGAGGGTCAACTGTCTAGGAAATATGCACACTCACTCTTAGTGAGTGTCACTGCCAGACAGACTTCTCTCTCTGCAGAGAAGTGTTGCTGCAGGAGAGGGATGAAACTGAATGCTTAATGCTGTGTTTGTCATTTCCAAGAATTTGTAAGTTTTTTCAGCTGCAACACACTAGAAGAAGCATTAAAGTTTTCCACATGCCAAAAGCAGCCACAGATGCCAATTTCTACTACAGTGCGCTCAAGGAGATCACAATGCTTCCAATGAAATAGTTGATTCAAGAAATTAGGTGCATTAAAGTTTTTGAAAGTTTATGTGTAATGTTTCAATTTTAGGAGCCTGAGGGAGCCTATGATCAAGGTATTCTCAATTTCATAGTTTGGCAACTAAACATTTATCTCATTCATTTCCTAAACCCATATACAACTATTTGGATTTCTTTTCCCCAGGTCCTTGAAATGTAATGAAATTTCCACTTAATTAGAAAAGGTATAGTACACCATAGCTGTAAACATACTTTCTTTTCTTAGACAAAAATAACCGAGCTTATTGTTTTGGGGTTAATGGGAATCGTTACTTGCAATATATGTATGCCCAAGGTTATTTCTTCTCTGTATTTTATCACTTGGTTTGTATGACAACTTTGATATTTTCTTTGTAATATATCTGACAGATGTTACATCTTGCCTACCTGTTATTTTTATGACAGTATTATGATTACATAGATGGAAAATTAAGTTATAAAAGACCTGACACATACAAAAAGTATCATACTGCTATGCCCTATGGCAGTCATCCACGCTCACATATGCCCAACAGATTTTTTGTGTAATTACTCGTTGCAATCCATGTCTGACTGAGGTTCTACTACTTCCCTTTGTAGGATATTTTAGATTCTCACAATTAGAAAGCCTTCTTAAAATCTAATCAAATTCTTGTTTGTTGCTAACACAGCTAGTTCCTTATTGTCTCTCTCATGATGACAACAAAGAACATTTGATCACTCCTCCTATCAGCTTATTGAAGAAAAAGACCTGCTATTGTCTTCTTCTCTTTTTTCAAGACTATACAAATCCAATTCCTTCAGTTTTCCTCAAGAGAAAGCATTTACTAAATCTTTTATCAAACCTCTTGTTCATCTCCAGGGCAAAAGACAGAATATGGCAGAAGAGGAGTTTAACAAGGGTTTAGAGTAACACCGAATAGTAATTTTCAACAAAATACAACAGCTTGATCAAATATCGACTGAACTGCAAAAGACAACAATGTTTTAGAACAGGCTTGTTCTCAGCACAGCCAGTTGTATCAGTACTCAACCACACGAAAAGAAAACACAAAACCACCATTATTGCTAGCCAGCAGTGCTTCTTCCTTTTGCCACACAGTATGCAGAAATCACCAGAAGAGACTTGTGCTTTGGCAGTCAAGGAAGGTCCACATGGAACTCAATCTCCAAAGCATTAAAGGTTCCATAACACAGAAAGGTCAGTGACGTACCTGAGAGATACTGCATTAGGTCCATAGATCTCTCTCACTGCTGTCAAATCAGCCTCCAGCTGCGGGTGCTTGTGAAGTTCTCCATCATAGCTAACCTATCGGTGAAAAAAATATTCTAGGAGTTCTTATTTCTTTCATTACTGGCAAATGATCTAGGCTCTTGAAAGCTCCCCCTGCAAAATATGCTGCGTGAAGGTTCCTTAATGTTATGCTCAGAAAGGACACTGTGTTGATAAGCTGGAGCACTGAGGTGGCCTAGCTCTGTTAAGCAATGAGATTTGCAAAGCTGGCACCTCTGCACTGAAATTTTGTGTGGGTCTCAATCCTGTGTGTGGGAGGAGAAACTGCAAAGGACTCAACCGTCCGTTCTGTCTTGCCCTGGGTTTTGTTCTGGAACACTTAATACTGTTAAGTAGGAGATCTCCCTAGTCATATCACCCCAGTCCAACCACTACAATTCAAAGGTTTGCTCATTCTTGCTTGTTGTCACACTCTCCTATGCCTTAGATACAGAATAGCCTGGGCTCAACAAATCAAGCATGAAACTATTCTATATACCAAATGTCTCAGCATCTAAATTACATTTTCAGTGCACCCATTGGCTCTATTCTATCCACCAGTGGAATGATACCAGACAAAAAAAAAAAACAGGAATAAAGAGCACTTTTCCATTTTAATTATTTTACCAGAGAAGGTATAAAGAAACATGCATTTAGACATCATCCCCTTTTTTTTTCAAACTCTACATGAAAAATGGAAACAGTTACGCTAGTTCTCACACTACAAAGCAAAACTTGTGAGCTGTTTTGGTTGGACAGAAAAAAGTCAAAATAATTAATTTAGACCAATCAGCCTCACCTCCATCCTGGGAAAGGTGATGGAGCAGTTTATCCTGGAGATCATTATCAAGCAAGTGGAGGAAAAGAAGGTTACCAGGAGTAGTCAGCATGGATTCACCAAGGGGAAATCATGCCTGACCAATCTGATAGCTTTCTACGATGGCATGACTGGCTGGGTAGACGAAAGGAGAGCCGTGGATGTTGTCTACCTTGACTTCAGCAAGGCTTTTGACACAGTCTCCCATAACACCCTCCTAGGGAAGCTGAGGAAGTGTGGGCTGGATGAGTGGTCGGTGAAGTGGATTGAGAACTGGCTGAACGGCAGAACTCAGAGGGTTGTCATCAGCGGCGCTGAGTCTAGTTGTAAGCCGGTAACTAGTGGTGTCCCCCAGGGGTCAGGACTGGGCCCAGTCTTGTTTAACCTCTTCATCAACGACCTGGATGAAGAGTTAGAATGTACCCTCAGCAAGTTTGCTGACGACACCAAACTGGGAGGTGTGGTAGATACACCAGAAGGCTGTGCTGCCATTCAGCGTGACCTGGATAGGCTGGGGAGCTGGGCAGAGAGGAACCTGATGAGGTTCAACAAGGGCAAGTGCAGGGTCCTGCACCTGGGGAGGAACAACCTCATGCACCAGTACAGGCTTGGGGTGGACCTGCTGGAGAGCAGCTCTGCGGAGAGGGACCTGGGCGTCCTGGTGGATGACAGGTTAACCATGAGCCAGCAGTGTGGCCTGGGTGCCAAGAAGGCCAATGGGATCCTGGGGTGCATCAAGAACAATGTGGCCAGCAGGTCGAAGGAGGTTCTCCTTCCCCTCTATACTGCCCTGGTGAGGCCTCATCTGGAGTACTGTGTCCAGTTCTGGGCTCCCCAGTTCAAGAAAGATGAGGAGCTACTGGAGAGAGTCCAGCTGAGGGCTACAAACATGATTAGGGGACTGGAACATCTCCCCTACGAGGAGAGGCTAAGGGAGCTGGGCTTGTTCAGCCTGAAGAAGAGAAGGCTGAGAGGGGACCTAATAAATGCTTATAAATATCTCAAGGGTGGGTGTCAGGAGGATGGGGCCAAGCTCTTTTCAGTGGTGCCCAGTGACAGGACAAGGGGCAATGGGCACAAACTGAAGCAGAGGAAGTTCCGTCTGAACATGAGGAAGAACTTCTTCCCTCTGAGGGTGACGGAGCACTGGAACAGGCTGCCCAGGGAGGTTGTGGAGTCTCCTTCTCTGGAGATATTCAAGACCCGCCTGGACAAGGTCCTGTGCAGCCTGCTGTAGGTGACCCTGCTTCGGCAAGGGGGTTGGACTAGATGACCCACAGAGGTCCCTTCCAACCTCTACCATTCTGTGATTCTGTGAATATCCTTCTATCTTCTACAAATTACCTCTTTAGACTTGTAACAGTGTACTCAAAGTCTATTACTACTTTCTCATTAAGCAATATGCTCATGCTTGTGTGAACTTAATTTTACTTCTTTACAACAATTAGAATGACAGTAATTCCACAAATGCCCATGAACTTCTTAGATTTGGACAGATTCAGAAATTAGGGTAGGTTTTGGCTTGTACCTTTGACAAATTCAGAGAACAAAGCACAGGAGTGTAATTTAGCCCTTTAGACATATATATATGTCTCGTTATACAGGAATTCCTGCAGAGAATTCTTGCTATTGCAGAACCATATCTAACTGTTTCTTCTGTTTGTACATTCAAATTTGCATGAGACCAGTGCTGTGCCCCTTTCAGCTCTGATATCCAGAGATGTACTTTCCAATCTAATTAAATAAATGTCAGTACAATTAAAATAATAATCACCTGATCACTTTTTACATGTGAAACTTAGCTAAGAATGATTTGATTATAGTTAGAATTCTCAAATATTAGGCACAGAATTCATCAGCATAGCATGGGCACGTGTTTATCAAAGATATCAACAATATTCATGACCAAAAGGGTATAAGCCAAGTACCCCTCCCTTGACTGGCAGGCTCATCAGAATAGTTTTCCAAGTAGAACTGCAAGGGAATAAAATCTTTGTTATCTTTTTTTTTTCCACTTTAGGTAGGAGCAAACCAATAATTTTCACATGCTCCTTACTCGAAGATGAATTATTTAAAGATGCATAAATAATTGCTGCCCTGCTTCCAAAGAGAGCACAGCAATCATTTTACAAATCATAGCTGTGGTGCACTCACCATCTTTGTTGGTCCCAAACCACAGTTTTTAATCAGTCTTATGTATCAGTAATAGTAAAATCCAAAAGGAACACTATGCAGAAGACTGAACTGCTCAGCATAATGCTTTCTCCAGTGTATTTTCTCATGGTAAGGAGTTCTGAACTCAAAAAGGCCACAAAGCAGTGTTCTGGCAAACTGTAAGACCACAGTATGGTATTTCCCACCCCTGAATTAGTGCCACAGACATGCTGATGTATGCAGAGGAGACTGCCAGAGTTTTGTATATCTGCATTTGCAAGTATGTGCTGTAACTGAAGCACACGGGAGAGGGATTGCCAAAGGCAGTGCTATTACTGTTTCAATCTCCTGTTCTCATTTGCAAATGTAGAAGATAGAGATTCAAAGCAAGAATTAACAGTGTCTCCGAGAAAGTGAATATAAAAGCTAAAACATCTGATAATTCTGCTCTGTCTGACGGGTCTGTGTTTAGAAAGTCCCAGTTTTTAATCTGAGACCAGATTTGGATTATTTTGTCCCACATAATGACAAAAGGTTGCATTTTTAAAGGCGATTAAGTGATTTACAAAGCTAAATCCCATTGAAATTCAATAGGACTTAGGCTACTGAATCACTTAGCTCAAGTATTTATCCATTAAATCCTTAGGGAGGATTACAAGCAGGTGCCTAGCAAGCGGATACAAACATTTAATTTATGACCAAAAGGTAGTATCTTGTTTTCACTGCCCATCAAATGCCATTTTCCATCTTCCATGGTCCTTGTTTCATCACCAGTTTCTCCGTTGTCTCTCCAGCTGTAACCACTTCAAAAGTTTAGACTTCTCCCTGACCTCCACCCTTCCCAACTGTATTGCACACAATTACCCTGGCATCTATTCCCTCTAATTGCTAAAGTTAGTATTTTTGTCCCTTTTCTCTGTGGGCACAGCACACACTTGTCTTGAATGAAGCAGCTTGCCTCGCTTGTTCCCCACAGTCAACTATTTTGTCTTCCCAATACACCTGGTACTCACTTAATAACTCTTACAGTCACTTTATTCAAAAAAGGATTGTCCTTTTATCTCTTGAGGGACTTTACTCACTACCTGATTTCCTATTTACTTTTTCAGTTCTCAATATTTTCTTTTGTTCTACAGGTCTTCTTTAGAATTTTGTCTTTTTGACTATGAAATTTTAAATTCAAAATCTCATTTTTTCTCTCTCATTAAATACACTTTCTATAACATCTTTCATTTGTTTGTTTGTTCTCCTTAGTTTGCTTTTTGAGCATTCTATACTCCAGACATTCACAATCATCTGATATTTTACTTTTATTGCTGATCTAATTGTATTTTTTTGCCAGTTATAATTCCATAAATTTTTTTAAGGATTACCTCAAAAAAATGAGAATGCAGTATTATGTGTTCTCCATTTCAAATATAAGGCAACTAAATTCTAACCAGTCTTCCCTATTACACACCTCTTTTACACTTCACTAAATGATGTACTGCTCTCTGTGTTCATATCTCACAGGCAGCGTTAATATTTATTCATTCATTTGCGCACTGGCAGGCATCCTTTACCAAATGTATTAGTGCTAGTTCAAGAAGCAAGCACTCCCAGCTGTTTGCTGCCTCTTCCTTCACCTTGAGGTTACTGCCCTTTCTGCAGAGCTGAAAAATGGAGCCAGTACACACAATTCATCACCACAGGGCAAAATCAGAAGACTTTTCCTCTCAGGCAGATTAAAATAAGACACTGCTCTTTGCACGGAAGTACGTGTACATGGTCGTCCCCAGCACTCCATGGGACTGAAGGAGTAGGCAGCTGAAGGGAGGCAATTCCTGCACTCATTTCTGAAATGAACACGAGACAACGCCCCATGTCAGTTATTTCTGATACTGAAAACACATTATTTCAGTTCCAGTTTCAATATGACTTCTAACAGCTTTTTAGGGGTGCACTTTTTTTTAAAGCAAAGCACCTGAACGTGTAATTTTGCATTCAAATCCCACCGTGCAGTTGGCTCTGGAAGACGAGAGGCTCGGCAATGTCCTGCTCATCAGCATCCCACGCTCTCCGCACCAACCCAACTGGCTGGCACTGCTGGCGCGCTCCTGTGGCCTTGGCTCCACACCCAGGGCATGGATGGCTTCAGCCTCAAGGCTGAGGCAGTGACAACTTTCGTAAATAGCAACCGTAATTCATTAAAATGTTCATAGAAATAAACAGTTCTAATAGTGGGGAATGATTCCTTTGGGGCAACAGTTAGACTAAAAAGATAAGAAAAATCTGAATAAAGAGACTAGCAGCGTGACGCACTCTATTGACATTGCAAAAGGAAAAAAGTCAAAGAGATTTTATTACCCAATACATAGGAGAATGTAATAATAACTAATTCTGCTAAGGGAACAAGCAGGAAAGACACAGAGCAGTACATTCTTCTAAAAATATGCAGCATTTGTCAAGGTGAATTTAACTGTAGAGCTCAGAAAAAAGAATGCACTGTTCTGGATCAAAATTGTTTTCTAACAACCATTTTTACCAACAAATTACAGTGCTCTTGACTTTACAAAACAGCAGTCCTCCAGAAGCAAACAGGTTCGGATCCAGCCTGACTTCCTATTTGTATCAATCATGGGATATGCTCTAAAGAGCGAGTATCTATTTCCTGGAAGTAGGCAACTGGCTTCTATTTCCAAATGTTCTGAAGAGTACGTGCTTTTTGCATTATTACAGCTTTGCAAATGTAAACAAACAAATCTTATTTTAAATTTGATGTAATTATACAATATAACATATGCAATACTTCTGCTATAAAATACTATGTATTTTTCTATCACACGTGGCATTCTACTCAATGTTGAATAAACATAAGAAATTATTATCATATATTTATAATGAATAACAGAAGCTTTCAAATACTAACTTCTTGAAACTTGGCAAAAATTTCCTCCATTACCTGTCCTCCATAATAAAATTCCTCAGAATCATTATCTCCTTCAGAGTCTTCTTCAACTGTGCTGTTGTGCCGTGACTCCTTAAAGGAAAAGGAAAGTTAACGGTGATACAAGTGACACGCTTATCTTGCACTTATAGTTCCAATTATAACTACAGGAGTTACGTTTTTACAAATAAGCTCATAGTACCTTTCATTAAGAAATCTTTTAGTATAATTTTTCCAGAAGAGTACTAAGGGCTTGTTTTAACAACAGTGAAATATCAGACCAAACAAGCACCTACTAACTGCATAGATGAAAATACAAATATATGTTGAAAGAAACAATAGTTTGTCTGGCTACAGACAGAGTGTGGTTTTTTAAGGAACTGGGGAATTCAGTAGACTACATGGGGACACTTCACCCCATGTTTTTGCTAAACAAAGCATAATTTACCCATCAAGACAGGTTCTGGACTTAATTCATTTGGTGTTTCAGTGATCTAATAAAATTTTAATTTGCTTTATTCTGGTCAATCAGTTCTAATAGTTTAAGGGAGTAATTGAGTCTGACCATGAGGTCTCTTGAGTTCCTTTCCATGAAAACCTGACACATTGCTGCTTAATCATTATTTTCAACAAAAGTACCAGCCTGTTGCCAGCAAAGTTCAAACTTAATTTTCTGACTAGCTCTGTTCTGAGACTTTGAAAATGAAGGATTAGAAAGTACTATGACTACCCAAGTAAAACCTGCTCTAAATGGGCTGCTCTGTGAATAATTGCACTTGAGCAAATAGAACTGAAGCTGACACAGACTGCAACTCAGCATGAGCTGAAGTGTTATATTCTGCTTCCCACCAATGGAACCTTTACTTATAATTATGTAATTGCATGAAGGTATTAATTCTTGTTTCCCACAATCCATGTGTTATTTCTAGGCCCTACACTGACAACGCTCCCCTAAAAAACACCTGATAAAAACATAACTCTTCATTTCAACCTGAACATTATGTACTTACTGCTTATTTTGTATTTATGTCCTGCACAGAGATGCCATAATGGAATAGAAATCAGATGTATGCATCAAAGACTAGGAGTTATCCCTAACTCTCATATATTCATAAAAGCCCAATATACCTTATCATTAATTTCTATGGTCAGACATTCTAAACCTATTTCCCTACCTTTGCCTCTAAATTCCTGCTCTATTCACTGCATGTATACAAAGAACAAAAATTGTATTATTTCAGCCAATTTCACGGCAATTTTCTACAACACATAAAAATAATTTCTGCTTCTAATTCACTGAAAAGAAACAGTGACTCTCGTCATCTTGGCTTTGTAATAACTTTAGCTCAGGCGGAAGTCTGTGCTAAAACAAAACTCAACTACAAAAATTAAACACAAACCAAAGAGAAATGAAACTCTAGCAATAGAATAGTGGCAAACCCACCCTATCCTAACCAAAACTCTAATTGTCTAGCCAACAGAAATAGTCAGTGTTACATTTTTAAAAAGGGAGGTGTCAGTATTTTCATATTTAAGTACCTTGTTCAGCTATAAACAAAAGAAAAGCTCAGACTGTGTCCCACAGATGCTAACTATGTTTCAGGCTTTTAATCAAATGGGTAAATTCTTCCTGCATTTGAATTTCTAACATTTACCGACACTGAATACTATGATGAGGCAGTAGAAGCACAGTACTTCCAGTGCAGCTTTTTACATCAAATCAGGTTCCGTCTACTAAAAAATCAACCATACACATTAGCACACCTGGGCATACTTATCTCCCCTTTCCAGGATCAAATACAGATCAGAGCACAATAAGCAGTTGTCAAGAAACTGAGCAGTCACCCTTACCAAAGGAAGCCTTTAAGTCAAGCACCTGAATTCTTGACACAGTGCTCAATTTCTTGCTTGGGGTAGGAGCCCATGTGGTGTTTTCTTTGAGCCCATAACACTGTCAAGCCCTTGCAGACTCCACGTTAGCACCACTTCTTGCTTGAGTTAATGTCTCAGTTAGCCTGGGCATGGACCCATGCCAGAGGTTCAGGACAAAGGCAGCTGTGACTGGAAGGCCTTAATACTCCAGACACTATTTATGGCAAAGAGAGTCATGCAGAGGTCCAGAGACTCCATCGGGGCCACTGTAGGCCACGTGAAGAAGAAGTGAGCTAACAAATGGGATGTGGTCCTATGTGCAGGAGGAGGCTAGCAGGTAATGGCATCATGATCTACTTCTCCATGAAAGCTGTATTTTTAGGGCAAACAGGGTCTATACCACTGTTAAGCAAAAAATGAAATAAATGCCAAAACTGTGTTTCCTAAGATGGGAGCACCTCTATCCTAACTAAGCAATTCACTGGTTAATCCACATATGAAACCCAGAGAACTATGCTCATCTTCTAAAATGTGTAAATGTGTACAGTTTGCATAAGCACACATTTGATAGGAAATCTATGGTAAACATTGGTATTTTATTCTTAACTGTTGTTTCTTAAAATAATTTACGTTAAAATACGAACACAAGAAATACATACCTCTCCATTCTCCCTCTGTAATTTTGATTTTATGGATAAGCAATAGTTGACATCACTGGTTTTTCTTAATTCTTAAAAGAAAAGGGAAAATAGGGAATATCTGTGAAAAATGTGAAACAATTTTGTATACGCAGACTTGAGATACTCAGTTGCAGTAGTAGAGCAAATAAGGAACAAAAAGGTACAGATGTGAGAAGCATCAAAGAGTTTACAATACAGCAGTCTAAAATCAAGAAGCCCCTCTGTCTCAGAAGACTCATAATTTTAACTGTGAAATGAAACTCAGCTGATCCATGTAGAATTTTTGTTTTTCCCAATCCGTGATTTACAATTTAGTGTCTTTCATTAATTTTGTATACTTCATAAAAGAATGAAAAATCAAAACCCCTCAGCAAAATTAAATCAGATAGTTTTCTATACAAAACATAGGTTTTTATTCTATTTTAAATGACAGGCTTTATTTCTTTCTAAATTACAGAAATATTTGCACGTAAAATTTATCTTAAACTTCTGACTTATAATGGCTAGCTTTTGTCTGGGTGCCGCAGCACAAACTTCAGTAAAATTATTCTTGATTTACATCAGTTTAAATGAAATCAGAGGCTGAAGATCATATTGGCTTTCCTGTGGAATTCAAAGCAATTCTGTGTTACGCAAAAGAAGCCCTAAAGCATTGTAATAATAATAAAAAGACTGCAAAGTCAAGTGTTCCTATCTGAAGAACTGCCAGAATTAAGACTGCTCTATGCAGTTTCTCCTGCAGCCTTAAATCATCAGGGAATTTGGCTGCTAAAATCTAGAAAGTCGCTATTGAGTATGCACAAATCCTGATTGTATTTTATATAAATGTGCCTATATGTCTGTAAAGCATACCCTTTCATGTATCAAATACTTTTTGAAAATATGGAAATTATTCCAAATGAGAGGTTCCCAAAAACACTAGGAAAAAATATACTTTTTTTCTATAGTCTTATTTAGTGAAACAGCTGAACCATTTTGTTTGAAATTTCCTGAAATAATTCACCAGAGGCAACTGTAGTTACAGGCTGTTTTATCCCCAATGGTGAAGATTTAGTGAAGTTTTAAGCAAGTGAGCATGAAAACTTATAATTGGGAAGTATTAAGCACCTCTAACTGTATTCAAGGAGAATTGCTTTCGCACAGATTGCAAGACATTAAAAGAATAAAATACATTCTGCCTACACAATCGTGTTGATCCACAAAAGAAATATTTTAATTTCTTCTATTCTGAAATGCAGGACAACAGCAAGACTGTGAGAAAACAGCAAACTGTACAGCTGCACACATTAACATCTAACCCTTGAAGTTCAGGCAAGATGTTGTCTTTCCTCACAAAATATCAACTTGATATAACACTCAGGACGTAAGATTACCTGTAGCAATCTGGTGGAAAATTACTGGAATTGGCTCTGTTGTAACTAACACATCTTCATCGTTATCAGAACTGGAAACATAAGTGTTATCTATGAAAGAAAAATGTCTTGCATGGTGAAGTCCAGTTGTGCTCTGCCAGCCCCTTCCCACATTGCCCATCCCACCCCTGTACCCCAAGAAAATACTCCCCAGATGTCTGGGGAAGCCAACCACTGTGATCTTCCGGGTGTGCTTTTTTTCCCGTCAGATTGCCAACAAAAAGAAAAATACGAACAGGATGGAAGATTCGGACCCGAATTTTATACAAGCAAACCCCTGGAGTCCAATGTCATGGCCTTCATGAATCACACTAAGTGCTGCTCTGAACCACCCCACAAGGCTTAGGGGGATTTGAGCGAACCCTTTCCAAAATGAAGACTTGTTCTATGCTTTTTGCTACGCCTGACACTAAAACTCGAGCTAGATCTGCTGTGCAGAGTGAAGGCTGCATTCAGAGCTGGGTGTTAACAGCCCATTATGCAAAATACCTGTGCCTCATTTTGCCTAGTCACATCAAGGCTGTTCAAGTATCGTCTAATCAGTGGATAACCTTTCTTGAGCCTCATTCAGGAACAAAAAAAAATTCCTCCCTCTTAACAAAAACATTAAGTATGGATATGAATATGGAAAGTCTATCCCAAATTCTCTTGCAAAATGTGGGGAATTAAGCTGAGGAGTGTGCATATTGTGTTTTTGTTTTGGTTTCTTTTTTTGCTTTCCAACCAATTGTTTAGTAACAACACACAAGGAGCAGCAAGTTTTTATGTAGTATCTGCAGAAGCTAATTTTGCATGAATTGCTGAACTGCCTGTGAAAGTAATAATATTTTGTTTTCTACTGATCTGGGCTGAATTGAAACTTATGCTCTACAGTAGAAATGCTGACAAGATAATCACAGATAAAAGAGACAAATAAGAGAATTGAAACAAGGACTTGATCTATCATAATTCCGAATACTCTGTTCCCACAGCAGCAAAGTGTGTGAAGCCACATGTAATTTTAAGTATACTGCTGCAGTCTCAAAGCCTCTGACCAGAGGGATTCCAGCAAAATGTTAAAAGATGTTAACATCAATTGAACTGTAAATTCAGCAATATTGTCCTTCGCATTAGAGAGGTTCGTAGCAGCCTGCATGAAGACGAAGCCCCTTCCTCGCACGGATGTGCCATGCTGCCGTTGGAGAGCCGAAGCCCCTTCCTCGCACGGATGGGCCGTGCTGCCGTTGGAGACTGGCAGCTGCACCGGCGCGTGGGGCTTTCCCAGCCTGCCACCTGTGAAACAGCCTTTCTGCCACATTCACACACACCTACCGGGTCTGACACCACCTCGCACCTTCGCCTACTTCCACCCCTGCGCTGTCCCACAAGGTAATCTGAGTGATTAGCGCCCAGCTCAACATGCACAGATTGCGAGCAGGCGATTGCTGCGGGAGGCTGACACCGCTTTCCCCGGAGCACTGCGCTCCAGTGGGCACAGCAACCTGCTCCATCAGCGCAGTCGGTATCTGCTCAGCTACACGCCTGGCAGAGGGATACATTTTAGAGCCACGGCATCGTGCGAATAAAATGAGGTTCCTCCAGCCACCTGCCAGCATTCACTCCTTCTCCCACTTCTGTCTATCAGCAGGACAGGCTGCGAACTGTGCCTCCAGGACAGCTACCTCACCCTCTCCATGAACCCCTGCCTTGGCTACATCTGCATGCTCCACCTTGCTGCCATCTTTTCAGTGTCAGCCTCACCACGCTGGATGGCTCTGGCATATACAACACTGGCCCATTCCTTTCCCAAGTTTGGGAGTGTAATTTGCTGCTATGGAGTCTAATCAGCTGCAATAACAGCGGCCACCATCTGGCTGTAAATATACCTAACACCATGTATTTGGATGGGAGAAAGGAAATCCACGTGCTAGAACTTCTTGCTGTATGGAAAAGTAGGAAAACAACAATATGTGCTGTACAGAATAGATATTTACCAAGATATACATATATGGGAAAAAGGACTGATCATTTACAGGTTTTATAGATTTCAATTACATTTTTAGGCCCATTGTCATTCTTTCTTGGCAGCTGGATAATATGATTTTCACTGCCAAGTTTTTGTTTTCCTTTTCTATTTGGCAGCCGTTAGGATTTTTTTCTTTCCTTCCACCAGTCTAATGAATCTTGAAATTCAGATACTGGTTTTGGTTCGCTTTCTTCAACATCCAATTTCTAACACACTACACCCAGGACCACCTCTCCCCTTATGCAAAGGACCTAGTGCCTGGACCTTGTGGAGGGATGCAGCAAACCACTCACTGCCAAACTGGTTCTCTCCGTCTCTGCTGCAGTCTAGTGAGGTCTAACAAAACCACGTTTCTGTTAACATGTGTGGAACTCACAAATCACTGGGATAAAAGACTACAGCGGCTCTACAAATTTACGGCAGCCAACACATATCACTCTGAACATATACTCATTAGCAAAATGCCTGCTGCTGTAGTGGTTCTCATAGGAGTCATGATGCACTCATATTAATGGGACTTTACTCATTGATGTTATATTCTATAACTGCTGCTTAGGAGCATTATTTTTCCCCAGTTGTGTCAAAGTTATGAGAAAATAGTCACAGAGATATTTTGCTGGAACTGTTATTATCTGCCTCTAAAATTTTCAGTGATATTTTCACAATTTCAGCAATGTATATATAACTTTGAGACATTACTCTCTCAACACTATTCCTATTAAGTTATTCAGTGTGCCTTTGTGAGCATATTTTTAGATTTTGCTCGTAATTATGAAACTTTTGAACACCTTCCATTGTCAAAAGTTGTCATGTCATATTACAGTTCCCACAGGTATGCTTTAATGCTCAGCTGTTTGCAATCTTTTGGTGCTTTATGAAGCAATTCAGCAACAGCTAGGCACTGTTATCAGGGCCAAAGTGGTGATGCTGCATACACAACAGCAATGCAGGGAGCTAGAGAATATGCCATACTCAAAACTCTTCTGAGAATATCTAGAATTTACTTGTGGTGGTATCATTTTTTGCTGAATGAACATCATTATGTGTAGTAACTTAATCTTTTCTATTTTCATATATTTATTACATGCATTAGCAATTCATCTGATGATCAACTCTGACAGCCTTCTCTTAGATTCCCAAATTTGATCCATTGTGTATTACACACTCTTAATCTCCAGATAACACAACGTGAGTATAGCTACACATTAACGGACTTAAACCTTGACCTGTAAAGACTCATCCTGTGAGAAATTTAATTTGATCAGCACATGTTGCTCTGAACTCTATCATCTAGCAGCAATACTCGAAGATCGTCTTCCAGTTGAGGAGGACATCAGCACAGAGCTTCCCAGACTTGGCACCATCGCACCCTGACATGTCCCTGAAACATCCTTTAAAATACATGCCAGAGAAGAGAGCTGTCATCAGCAGTAATGTTAAGTTAGAGATTTAGGACAAAGAGAGTCAAACGAGTATTTTTAGGACCAAAGCTGTAAAACGGCAAAGAGTCATTGTCATTCCTAACACAATAAACACCTCTTCTTCACAAAGCAAACACAGACACTGCAAAAGCCTGAGATATGAATGAAATCAGCTTTTCCAAAGCCCTGATCAGTAAACAGGTGCAGCTGGTTTACACCCTCCTCACCAAGTTAGCTACAGCGTAAAATGTTCACATTCTATCTGGTTTTAAAATACAGGGGGTGATGGCAGAGAATATTCATTGGGTTTTAGAGCCACCAAAGTCACTCAGGCTTGTAGGCCATCAGAGCATGCTGCAAATAGCATCCGTAAGGGACGCTTGAGGTCTTTCAGACAGAAGTTTGCCAGGAGATGAGATCTCGTGCTGTGGAAGCAACTGGCTGGTGCAGTGCCCCAAGCTTGCTGCTTAGTTAGGGGTTTCCAGAGATCAAGTTTTGTGTCTTCTTAACATCTTAATCCCTGAAATGAACATCTTAATCCCTGAAATGAATAAATCAATTGCTGACATTTAATAAAACAATCTGATAATAACATGCAATGCAGATTTTTTTTTGACCTATTTGTCCCCCCTTTCATTGTCAGCTCAATGTTGTAACCAGTAAATCAATTTATCACTAGTATGACTGTGTATTTCATGAATCTCCGCTTCTCCCCTTACTACATGTCGAATAGATTATTAGTAGCATAGTTTTCACTCCAGTTTGTACTGGTAAAAAAAAAAAATCATAAAGGTTGTTAGATTCTTTCCATTGTATTTAGCATCACGGATGATCCCATTGTATTTAACATCACTGCTGATGCCAATTTCAACAGACACAGTCTACCGCTTATCAGTGAAGAAGATACTCACTTCTTTAGAGATTCTAAAAGAAACAAGAAATATTTCTTCTAGAAATATTACAGAGATGTTATGCATAAAGATCAAATAAGGCCAAAATAATAAGGGTTTAATAGCATTGATGGTACTTACACTACTGAATACTCCCAGGGGCAAAATAGACAACATGGTGCAATCCAACAGTACTGCCATGTACCTTCACTTGCACAGCACCCGTTCCCCTCTCCTGCTTCCGCTAACCTCTGTGCCACCTGAAGTACCTGTGCAGTCTCTTCATGAAGGGAATCAGGGAAACAAGCTAGCTGAAAACTAGCTTTTGCTTTGTTGTCTTTCATATGAATAATTCCCCTTGTCTAGACTGGCCGCACAGTTACACACATGCTTTTGCCAGCCTGGCTCAGAGCGTGACAGGGAGGCAGCACTGAGCGGCTGGGAACAGTTTGGCAAGCTTACTTTACTAAGGACAAACCTGTACACAAACCCTTGACTCCAACTGACCCTGAGAAGCATCAACGCACAGTCCACAAGCTTAACTTGAAGAACCTGAGTAGTGTCATTAAGGCCTAATGCAGAAATGCTTTGCTGGCCCTGTGCCAGGCTGCTCAGCCTGGTGAAAGACCAAGCTTTATCTGCCCTGCCAAGGGGCACTTGGGTGCTTTCTCACTCCTGTCGCTGTTGCCTCCAGACCGAGAGAGCATCACAAGCTCCGGTCTCTGTAAACTTGTGAACTGCGTTTTCTCACCCTGACCCAGCTGACAAATGACACCTGAAAAGGAGAAATGACTGTGAAAATAATCTAACTAATGGAAAATATTTAGCACAAGGATGCATCTGGAAGACATCAACATCCTTTCAGATATTCTCATGTGAATATAGCAAACTGTGGTAGCATTCATACTTCTGTCATGCACAAGAATGTTGCACTATACCTGGGTAGTCCTCAGAGACATGCACTGAATAGGATACACTGTAAAAAGAAAAAAAAAGAAACAGTAGCATTAACAACAACAACATTAACTGCTGGCATGACATTTTCTTTTTGCTCCTGTCTTATTTTATGCTTGTTTATAGGTTCCTGACAGTTTCCAGGACAGAAGGTAACGGCTATTTTGACGGCTTTTGAAGTGCTCAGCTGAAAAATAAAGCATCATGCCCATTTCGAAAGCTTATGTCACTAAATCGGAGCATCCCGATTTGAACCTTCTTAAAAATAATATCAAGACTTCATTACCTTCAGTTTAGAGTAATATTTCACAATATCTGCAGTTATTCTTAAAAAAAAAAAGTTGTTCTTTGAACACCAGAACTAGAAAAGCACAGTTTTGCCTGCACCTGGTTTCTGCGGTTGATTCCAGACTCAGTGGCTTCGGAAGTGTTTTGGTTT